TTGGTGAGCATGTGGGTTGTCCATGCCACATTGGTATAAGCTATGTTTATTTCAGACCTGAGTTGTAATATTGTATCAGGATATGGTCTAGTCTACGTGTTGTAGTTCCATGACTCGATACTTATTTATGCTATAAGGTTATTCAATATAGTTATTTATTGCAATTTACATACAGATAGCTTTTCAAAAAGAATCACTGAGTAATATGATAATGAATCATAACTGGAAATTTTAGCTTCCGCATTTATTGAGCTGCGCATTTTACCATTCATATGTTTAATACACCGGGTGCACACAGGGTGTTACAATTATCGACATCCAATGCTGGCTGTGCCTAGGTAGGTCCGAGCTAAGCTTCTGTCGGGTTGGTCTGACCCGACATGGATACTGATTCCGAAATGGCCTCCCTAACATGGACGATATTGTCTTTCGGCTGGGTCCGTTGAGCGGCTGCTCTGTCTGGTGGTTGAGATGGGGTGGCTGTAACAGCGATTGCTACTAGTGGTTGTTGGCGATGTTCCATGTGTTCACCATGATGGGGCGAGAGTAGAAGTTTATCTTTTACCACAGACGGCGCCTATGTTCGATCGTAGGTGGATCGAGATGTGCAATCAAAGGATTGGTTGGTTTCTGTATGATCTGTATGACCTCTCTCAAGTATTTATGTAAGAGATACCTTAGAGACTAGCGAATTACTATACACAATGAACTAGCAGCGTAGCCAAGATGTGGGGTGTATATATGCACAATGATAACTAATAAGGCAGAGAGAGTAAGTGTCATACCTATTGATTTTATCTTTTATTTATAGAGTTTACCTGTAGGTAGTGAAATTTTGAATCTTTAATATATCTTTGGGGTCCAATGATTTGATCCGCTGAAGATATACTATGATATATTTTGGAAATCTTTCCTTGTTTTCTCTATTAGCTGTTTGCCTTTATTAGGCCTTTTAGGATATAAACGTTATAGAATATTGGGCCTTCAAAAATTACTTACCCTAAGTACTGCATCAAATTTGGAGATTCTACTGCAGGGTACATGTTTGTAGAAATATCAAATACATAGAAAGAAGGCAAGTGTATTTATTGTTTCTAATCTCTTTAAATTGTCTAACTGGTTAGCACGTACACTTATTATTACTACCATTGGAGGCAAATAATTGTACTAAAATAGTGGCTTAATTGGTAACACATGTTGAGTGGGTGAGAAATAATTTGAGTTTAATTCTTATTAAATATATCTTTGAGGAGGAACATTAAACTTTAATTATGATTAAGCCCGAAATTAGTCGCATAACGAGCACTAGCGCCATCTCAAAGAGGTAATATCGTGTTTCTTAAATGGCTAGTAGAAATATGTGAAAAGAAAAATAATTAATTAAAAGATACAACAAATTAAATATGTGAAAAGAATAATGGTAGAAACTTGGGAATCTAATCTCGAGAGAGAACAAAACGAAATTGAATAGAATAGTGGAATCTTACGTCAGTGAAAATGAGGTCACGAAGAAATTGGGGATTTACGACCAGAGACAAAATATTTTTATTAATCTCATGTTAAAAGAGATAAGTTATCTCATGTTATATAGATAAATTTGAGGGTTCTATCAAATGAAAAATAAAAAAGAAAAGAAAAGAAAAAGATGACACAGTTATAAAGGATGTGTAAAAAAAAAATTTATCACATTACAATGTAATGTAAGAATAGTTTTTCTTTACAGATAACCGACCGACATCTTTTTTGCTGGGTCCCGCATAAGTCCACTTCGTAGCAGCTATGAAATCCCTCTCACCTGTTTGCTTGCCGAGATAGATTAGGGAAAAAGAAAGGAAAAGTGTATGGTTATTTTCTCCGAGAGAGAAATTAAAAGAGAAATAAAATGATAATGGACTATGGCCATTGCAATATAAAGCTGTAACCAAGAAAAAAAAAAGTATTCACCAAGGTAACTTTACTGCTATTATATGTGATAAATTGTTGAAGTAATTAATTAGACCTATCTCATATTTACCATTGTAGTCAAATTTTCTTTAATAATATAATGATATTTAAAGTTAAAATAATATAAAATAAATTTTATATTAGAATATTATTTTATGTTAAAAAAACACTCCTGAACTTTCCCATGACACAAAGAAATGGGGAAAAAAATAGTTTTTAAGCTTTAGCATAATTACTTAATCATGATAATGGAAAATAATTATCGACAATCCTTTTAATCAGTGTTATTAAACCCCCCTCGGGCATCGACTCGGTTGGGGTACTGGGTCATCGGGTCACTGGTCGGACCGGTTGACCCGGATATATATAGATATATAAAAATATATATAATTATGAACATATAAATTCAATTATATTCTTTATATCTAAAATGAATTAAACAAGATTCATTAAATAAGAATAAAAAACATGAAGCATAAATAAATAAAAATGCATGCTATTACTATGTTAATTTAAATTGGAACTCAAAATCGTCCTAAACATACCTCTCAATGACATTGAATTCATATTTTTCAAATTCAACTACATTAAAAATGACATATGTCACAATCTCTTAATTTATTATTCCACAAATTGCTTCAGTATTGGAAGCTGAAATTTGAGGTCATTGTAGAAAAGTATAATAGCAAATAAGATTACAAAAAAAAAAATTAAAATGAGTTCTACATTTTTTTTGACAAAAACAATTTTGGTTTTTTTTTTAAAAAAAAAATGGATGACCCGACCGGGTCACCGGGTTTGGCCGGTTTTTTCCTGGTTTTGACCGAGTCGATGCATGACCGGTCCAATGCTTGACTAGAACCGGTCTGATGACCGAGTCACCGGATTCTGGGTCGACCCGACTCGGTCGGGTCGGGTCGGGTTGGGTTTTACAACACTGCTTTTAATATATCCACCCGGATTGTAAATTATTAATCTCACTTAATTTTAATGACTCGTCTAATTGATATATTATTAATGTTTGATACAAGCTGAATTAATAACTAATCATGAATATATGCCCAAAAAAACACACACATTCTTTTATATGTACCATACGTGACAGGAGCGAAAACAAAAGTGAAGTCAAATTAAATAATAAAAAAAGAGTATGAAGTACATAAAGTAACGTGTGAATAGCAGTGATATTATGTTATATTCCATTTCTAGTTTTGTTTTAACCTTGCACTGCCGCATTCCTGGTCAGTTTTTTTGAAGAAAATGAAATCAATTTTGATGACATGGTGGATAATTACACTGCCAAGTTTTATGAAACAGCGTGTGATTCGATAGAAATGTTGGCTGTGCGTATAACATGACTGAATTTCGGAGAGAGACGGTTAATTATGGGCTAAATGAGTAACGATCTTAAATAAATTTAGACACCACAGCGAAATTCAAAATCTCAAGATATGAGTCTTCCATTTATATAATGCTTACTTAGTCAATTTTTAATTAATGCGGGACTTCACTTACTCACACTTGAATTCCTTAACATATATAACCGGAAATGGAGCCAGATTTTTGCGGAACATGATTCCCTTTTACGAGAACTTGTAATCACCAGTGAGGATTTTCCATTCAAGGAACTGAAGTATCTAAGCATCTTTTTGCTAGTAGTAAAATTGTGCTTGTAAGCAGTGCCAAATTTATGTTCAACCTTGCAAATTCCACAATCTATATATATATATATATATATATATATATATATATATATATATATATATATATATATATATGTACGTAGCTGCATAATTTTGTTTTCAATTTTTATCTGACTAAACGGTATTTATTTGGGTTATGTTTTATCTGATCATATCAGAGTCTGGACAACAAGTGATGTGCATGCTTCCAAGTTCAAACCCCACTAGTGTCAGCTTTGTGGAAGTTTTGGGCATAAAGCTAGGCAACTAAGGCTGGAAGGCAGGTACATATTGGTTATTGTCTTTTTCTGTTATGCACCTTTCTGACTTTCTTGTACATGTATTGTGGCCATCGGGTCAAAAAACCCTTTCTGACTTTATGATTCTGCCACCACATGTTCACGTATCTTTTCCTTGTATTTTCGTGGAGTTTCTGACTCGGCTCAGAACTAAAACAAAACAAAATGCAAAGAAAGCAAACATGTGGGGTTCTAACGTCTAAGATTGGAGTGCCTACAATCCAATCAATTCTCTTGGAAGTTTAAATTATCAAGCGAGTACATTAACAGATTTATATTAATATCTTTAATATATTCTCTCCTAACAGGTTTTACACTTAAAGTGTGAATATAATGCATAAATTTATTCTTTTATTTATTTTAAGTTGAGCTGATTTTGGACTTTTTTAATTTTATTAATACATGAGTGGTAATTAAGGTTTGAACTCACGATTACGTCGAAAATTTTTATAAGAGGGGGTGCGTAAAAAACAAATTCACACTAATTTAGATGGGATAACACGATTGCGGGTTGATACGTAGTCAGATTTAAATAACTCCCAAGTTTTCTTCATAAATAAGAAATAATAAAGATAGAGGAGAGGCAAACCTATGTTACACTATCTTTCTTTTAAGTATAAACTTAGTCAAAGATAAATGTTTGATGAAATTGAGAAAGCGATCCCCTCTCTAGCTCCACCAATATTTGTCGTAATTTGAAGCACATAAGTAATAAGGGGTTTGCATTTATCATTTAATATGACACAACAAAGTTTCCTACACACACAACATTTTGTGGGGCCCACACTTTTTGAAATAAAAAAAAATTACGGCGCAAAACGAATCTCTATAACATTACACAATTACTTTTTCTACAACATAACTCTTATAAAACTCTTATATTAATACGTGTGCCATGAAGAATATGGTATAACAAACAAACAAACTAGTTTCCCTTTCTTTCCGCGTCCTTTGTTTATCTGTGCTCTGTGCAAGTGTTGCCATGCAACCGAAGGACATGTTCGGATCAGCAACCATCAGAAGAGGAAGTAGCTCCACCCCCAAGCCCTATGTACAGCTAGCTATGTGCATAGCCATGGCATTGCTCGGGTTTGTCTTCGCCACTTTCACCCTCCAAACTTATTTCAAGCTATTGAAACAGTACTACACACCCCTCCAATGGGCAGTGCTCTGCTCCATCCCTCTCAGGGGCATTCAAAATACCCTTGTTGCATTCTGGTCTCAACCTCTCCAATTAGGCCTCGTGCAAACTCTTCTTGCTGTTCCTGTTGCTGTTTTCACGGTTCTTTTGGGTACCCTTGTTGAGATCCGTGAAGCTTCTCTCAGCTTCATTCTAAGGAAACCAAGGCCTGAGAACCACCCCACTAGGAGGCACAGTGGGTTTTCCAATTTGCTTCGTTTGCTTTTGTGTTTTTGGATATTCATCATTGCTTATGAGAGGCTTGGTGGTTTTGGAGCTATGTCACTTCTAGTGTTGAGCTTTTTGTTCACCTCAGACAATATTGTTTCTGCTTTATCTTATTCCAGGAGCAGTAGCTTCAGGCGTAGTGCAATAAGTGTTTCTATCACGAGGGGGATATTGAAGAGGTTGAAAACTATTGTGGCCGTTGGGCTGATTGTTGGGTTTTTGACTGGGTTGATTTTCTTCTCTTATAAGATTGGAGTTGAAGGGAAAGAGGCAGTGATTTCTCTTAAATTGTATGTTGAAGAGAGCAATTATGCAGAGAGAATTGGTGTGAAGAAGTGGTTGGCCGAGAATGATGTTGCTGGAATGGTGGATAGTTACACCATCAAATTATATGAGTCAGTGTCTGATTTGGCTGCACGGTATAATATGACTGCTGTCAAGCATCATGTGATCACTCGTGAGGATTTAGTTGAGAAGGCCAAAGGATTTGCCATAAAAGGAATTGAATCTCAATGTTTTTTTGCTAGTAATAGAACTGTGCTTGGAAGCAGTGCCAAATTTATTGCAAATTCTATAATCTTTGGAGCTGCTGAGGTTTTCAATTTTGTCTCTCAGTCAATGGTATTTCTTTGGGTTTTGTATTATCTCATCACATCAGAGTCCGGTGGAGTAATAGAACAAGTGTTGTGCATGCTTCCAATTTCAAACTCTACTAGGGTCAGATGTATTCAAGTTTTGGATAAAGCTATTTCAGGATCCCTTTTGGCCACAGCTGAGATTGCACTTTTTCAGGGTTGTCTTACTTGGCTTCTATTCAGATTGTTCAAAATACATTTCTTGTACATGTCAACTGTACTTGCCTTCATCAGTACCCTGCTGCCAATATTTCCATCTTGGCTTGCAACAATCCTAGCAGCTATGCAACTAGTGCTTGAAGGCAGATACGTCGTTGCCGTTGTCTTGTTTGTGATTCACCTTTTCCTCATAGATTATGGGGCATCAAAAATTCTGGAAGATGTGCCTGGGAATAGAGCATATCTTACTGGGCTGAGCATCATTGGGGGAGTGACATTGTTCTCATCTGCTCTAGAGGTAAATTTTTACCCTCTTGTCTCTCACTCTTAAAGATTGTAGAAGCAAGCCTCACACTTGATGCATCATGTTTTAGCTGAATCTCAAGGTTTCAACCCATATATAACAATTAACAAATTTGTAATTAATTTTAGGCACTTTATGTCAACTCCTTTATTCTTGTTTCAAAATTGGAAACTGGTTTAGCTGCATAACTTTATGAGATCTCATGACATTGACAGATTGAATGAAGGATTATGTTGTTTCGCAGGGTGCTATTATGGGCCCATTGATATTTGCAGTTATGATTGCTCTGAAGGATTTGTATGCTGAATTTGTTTTGGGAAGAAACCAAGGATAAGGTGTTACAGGGGAAACTGGAAATGTTCGGGGAAGGGTTTAAAGAGTGTATATTAATTAGACAGAAAAAAGAGACTTGGATGAGATCACTCTCCTTGATTCTAAGATACAGCCAAGTGCCGTATATATATAACGTGTTGGGAAAAGGATATATAAAGTTTATGCTAGAAATAAAAAAGAGATTTGAGATCACTCCTCCTTGATTCCAATATAAAATCATGTAAAATTTTAGGAAAATATAACTCTCATCTTACGAAGAGAAAAATTCTTTCATATTCTCAAAAATCATAGATGAGATCATTTTATATTTATTTTTTCTCCTCTATTCTTTTTTCTCTCTTTTCTGAGTTGAGTACATGAAAGAATTTATCTCTCATACAACATGAGAGTAATATTCTCCAAAATTTTAACATAAAATGAAATAGATTCTCCGTGCATAATTTTAAAAGATCACCAAGGCCATCTCTCTTTTAATAAATAAATAAATATATATATATATATATATATATATATATATATATAGGAGAATGTTATATTTATAAATTTTTTGTTTACAAACTGCACTATGTCTGACTGGTCATACTTAGTGTAATTTGTAAAAAAAATTTGTAAACATATCATTCTCTCTCTCTCTCTATATATATATATATATATATAAAAATATATAGAGAGAGAGGTCGTAGGATCCTTTGATACCAGTGTCAAATTTCAAATTTGACACCTCATCTAAAAGTCGTTAGATCAAAAAAGATCAATGATATCACATGCTTACAAATCAGAGTCGTTGATCTTTTTTGATCTAACGGCTCTCAGATGTGACACTGTTATCAAAGGATCTTGCCTCATATATATATATATATATATATATATATATATATATATATATATATTAAAAGTTGCAAATCTAAATACCTTAAACAAGAGAACTCAAAAACATATTTCATTGTTCCTAATTCTATTTTTTTGGTGCAAATCCTAATTCTATTTAATTTTCTCCTTTTTTTTGTTTTCTCTTTTCTTGGCTTTTAAAATATTTTTTATTGAAAAAAGTTATATTTACAACTTTTTTTCTTTACAACCACTTTTATAATTATTGGATCAAAATCAAATTAATGACTTTCATTTAATGTCATTTCGTAACCGTTGATTTGATTTTAATCCAATCATAAAAGTGGTTGTGAGATATTCTAAGAGAAAAGAGGTTGTAAATATAATCTCCATCTTTTTTATTTCAATTTTTAAGCATTTCAACAAAAATAAGGGGAAAAAAAAAACTAAAACTAAGCTGACATTAGACTAAGTGAGAATTAAATCAATAACTACAAAAGAATTACCTCGACTCAACCGAAATACCTCAATCATTTTCTAAATCAATTTTTTTGTCATGAACTTAAAGTCCACAAGTGTCCCTCTCTAGCATTAATCCTGATTGGCACTGCTGGCTTTGGTACTGGTTTGTATGTGGACAGTATTAACCATTATGGTGTTCATCATGCTCTACACAAATGCATTGGGAATTTGTGATCACTATAATGTATCTGGCATATTTCAAAGTTTGTGTTGCTATATGTCGGAGACATAAAAAAGATCAAATGGACAGAATATTTTGAAAAAAAAATTCATTATATAGTCGGTTATTCAACTTTTTCCCCAGCCATATTGAACGTCTAAGGTTTTGACATCTTTAACACTTGAAGAAAATAGGTTTGCATATTGTTGGCCAATTTCTTTTATTTTCTAGGTTGTAACTTAGATCTGGAACTACAACAAGAACTGGCCAAGGACTCGCTAAGTCTAAAAGTTACAAGATATTATTTTTGAAGTGAATTAAAAACTCCATTTAAATCAAATATACTATTTTTTCCCACTGAAAATACAAATAAAAATTGTCTCTCTTTAACCCATATGAACAACACAAACAGCACAAATCTACAAGTCAAGTAAACCACCTTGAATGAAACAAATTAAGTCACAAGCAGCAGGTCCAAAGAAGATAAATTAAAATAAACAAAAAAAAAAGTACAGAACCAGTTCAAAGTTCAAAGCAAAAAGATGGTGGTTAGGACTTACTGCACGGTGGCTCAAGCTACAAGGCATGAGGACTTGTGGGTTGCTCGCGGTGGCAGTTCCTACGGCACGGTGGCTCTGTCAAATTTAAACTTCTCCATCGGAGACCAACAACATTCTTTTCGTTAGCAATAAAAAAACAGCACATGAGAGTTAGTGAGTGAACTAATAAATAAGTGGCAAAAGTTAAAGACATAAATAAATAAACAGAAGATGAACGTGTATCAATTTTATTAACTATATAAAATAGCCTTTTATTGTTTTTTTCTCCTTAAGACAGCTCATGGAAACTTCACATTGCCTTTGTTATTCATAAAGCTGTTTCTGAATAAATTACTAACATAATTTGACTTATCACATGTTTCGTATTATAGTCTATGTTTTAATAATATAATAATGTGTTTGATTAAATTATAGTATATGAAGTTTTATATTAAAAAATAGTCCCCAACTTTCCCTTAAAAGAATTGGAAAAAAAAAAAAATGCTCTAGCAGAATTTACTTAATCATGATTATGAAGAATATTAATGCACGACCATTTTTTTATGTAGCAATAAGGTTTGTTCCTTCACCGAACGAGTCGAATTTGAGTAACAATCTCTTTATTAAATCCAAGCCAGGTTTGTCGTTTTAATACTGAAAGATAACGAAGATAACCATGGAGTAACAAACACACCAAAGCAAGATGCAAGGACTACGTACATTGATAAGTTAAGACTAGTTCAAGCACTTTAGTTGCACTTTTGTTGGGGTTTCTTGGAGAAAATCTACAACCAAATAAAAGAGGCTCAACTAAGAGATTAGGTAATTTTTTCCCATATGACAGGACTGAAATGCTAATCACTATCTTTGCAGCAGCAGGTTGGTCTAACGTTCTACATTTGAATAGAGCAAGTGTATCAGCACTCTGTGACATGGTGGCACATGTCCGCTATCCTAATTTTTTCATGGTTATCTACTTATCTATTCTACTGTTCTATTAATAGCTATAACAATTCAAGTAAGATGTGTCAATACTCAAATTGGTTGAGTTATTGGTTTATCATTTGTTTGAATTAAGCTATAGCAGGAATGGCTGCTTCTTTGATACTAATGTTATTTCTTACAGGTGGCTATATATTATTAGGGGTGTTAAAAAAACCAAATGATCCAAACCAATCTATAAACTGAACCGAACCAGTTCCAAAAACTGGTTTTTATAAAACGGTTTAAAAAACTAATCCAGTTTTTTAATTTTAGTTTAAGATCGGTTATCCATTTCCACAACAGTTTGGATATCTAACATAATCAAACCATATCCATTTTTTTAATAATTTTTTATTTTTACTTTTTAACCCTATCTTCAATATTCATAATCTCTTATTTTTTAGCCTATGAACCCTAACTCCCAAATTCCCAATTTTAATGAATTTGCAGTAACTCTTGAATGGAAAAAGGAGCAGAGATTATGCTTTTTTATTTGGAATAGGAAAGAAAAATCTGAATCTGATGCTGGAAAAGTAAAAATTTACTTGCTTTACTTCGCAGTAACGTGGTGATTGATTTTAAAATCGCTTTTGGTTTTGAATCGTTACAATCAAAACCGATTTTTCGTTTTGAATTTAAAAAGAAGTAAACATTCCTATCTCCTCCCATTACATTTTACCGTTTTCCTCTTTGAATCGTTACAATTAAAATCGGTTTTGATTGATTTTAAATCAAAACCGGTTTTTAACCATAAATCGGTTTTGGAACCGGTTTCAAGTTGATTTGGATAAATAAAAACTGATTTTAAAAAAAAATTGGTTCGGTTTTAAAATCAAACCGTTTAAAATCGGTTCGGTTCAATTTTTGTCAAAACCGATTATGAACCGCTTTATACACACCCCTATATATTATGTCCCCGTAGGTACAATATTTTTTAGTGCAAAAGCTTATTGAATAAGTGTTATCCAAAAAAATAAAAAAAAGGCTTATTGAATAATGAGTAGCAATAATCCTAATCAAAATGGGACATAACTTGAATGTAAGTCTCATATTCATTTGCATTGTGCAAGATTTCCGACAATAAATGACCGAAAGTGGCATGTTTTTTTTTTTTTTTTTTTTTTGATAACATAAGTGGCATGTTTTTGTTGCAGCACATATATACCAAAGTTCATACGGTTATTTGTCGTTCATGTACTATGGGTTCAGGCTTCTTCTATTCATACCTTTAACAATCTTTTATTTAGCAATTAAAAAAATTAAAAATACATCTTCGAGTTAGTGAATTAACCAATAAATGAGCTTAAAAAATTATAGACCTAAATAAATAAACAGAAGGTGTGTGTATTTATTAACTACATTGAACGGACCTTTCAATTGCTTCACTTATGACAAATCATGGAACCGGTAACATCGCTATATTTTAATTAGGGAAAAGTTCAAATACTCCGTTGTTATTTTTCTCACTTACAACCCCTTATTATTATTTTTTTTTATCACTTATTCCATGTGGTTTTTTCCATTGTGTTAACTGTGTTAGAAAGTTAATTAATCCTTCACATAAAAATACTTCAGCTATCTCAATGTGTCACGTTGAAAATCAACAATCACACAAATCGCAAACGAGAAGAGAAATAGAATAGATATAATGATTTATCCTGGTTCACCCAATTTAGGCCACGTCCAACTTGTCTGTATTATTCACCTTACCGTCACTCGTTACAAATCACTCGATTTACAAGGAGAATATAAATAAAATTAGAAAAACTCTAACAACAGCTATTTATTGGCCTAAACCCAAACTACTAAGAAAAAAGCCCTTATCAGCATGCAAAATATGAACCATACCCAATATATCCATCTTATTCCCCAAGCTTTGCATCTTCACTAGTTTGCTTAATAACGTACTGCCATAATATGTGTGCAAAAGCAAATATAGAACACCATGCATGCTATAGTTAGCATTGATTTCATCCCTATAAGAAGAATAACAATCGCACATTTGTACCTGAAAGTGTAAACTTTTGATGCAGCGCCCAATTCGCCAAAACAATGGGACCATGATCCTTTGAAACTCTACCATGTTAATTGCTTCCAAAATTTATTCCAGTTCACCGAGGAACACTACCTCCTTTCTAACTATTTGTTATTGGCCAATATTTTAATTAACAAACTCCTTATGACAATGCTCGCCGCCAATTTGGACTCCTTCACTATAAACTACGTAACATATATAGTGGGACAAATCCTGCTGGAAGTTGACCCCATATATTTTGGCTTGTGCAAGGGGATCAAAACTCTCCACAAGTAATATCTAAAAAAAAAAAAAAACTCTCCACAAGAAGATTTTGTGTTCCTCTTTCAAGGGCAAAGCAAACCCGCTGATTATGCTTCCAAAGTGGTTTTTATTAAAAATAAAACTTACATAAAGGAGAGATTCTATTGTATCCTAAAAAACCCTTGCAAAGTTTGAGGAGCGCAAGACAGCCAAGGAAAAGTGGGTAGAGCAGAAAATTTTGTTAACCAAGTAAATACAATTATCAGGGAAATAATAGGTAAAGAAAATTGCTGGTAAAGTTGATAAAAAGTTGTTTGGCAGGACGAAATATTACCGGATAAATTAAGTCTTCAAAATCTATGTTTGGTAGAAAGTAAAATATTGATAGGATAATTTGTGTAAATTACCAAAGTGGACATTGTAAATATTGAAACTGTAAACAAGGGTACTCATCCTCATTGACATTGAACAGTAAACAAGAGTCATTTTGGACAATATTTTGGCGCTCGTTTTTTTCATTACTGATAAACCACGAATTACCACCGACAATGTGAGTATTAACAACAGTGCAATAAGTTCAGTTTTTCACATGATTCACGTTGCCTGGGTATATCATTTTGTTGGCATATTTTTTTAGACTCTTCTACCAAACGTTGACATTCTCAAATCCCTATCTAATTTGCCTAGATATTTCTTGCAAAGACCGTTACCAAACGGCCCGCTATAATATTTTTGTAATAAGGGTAAATAGAAATATTAATTAACTTTCTAACACTATTATAGATGAACTTGGATGGAAAAAAGTATAGGGAATAAATGATAAAAAAATATAAAAGAGTAAGTAATTCAAAAGGAAATTATATTGGGAAATGAACTTTTCCCTTTTAATTATTCACAAATATGAAGTGTTACCCAATTTTTTTTAATTATTCACAAATACTTTAATTATTTATTATATAAATCCATTCTTTTATGAAATGTTCATTTGAGTTTTTCCACATTGATATGGTTTGATTCGGTTTAATTTTAGACCCATTTTTACGAATTGGTTTATTTTTTTAGCCAAACCAATTTAAAAAAAATTAATTTGACTCTTAAATCGATTTGAAAAAAAAAAATTAATTTTTAATTTAATTTTAAAAATTATAATTTTTAAATATAATTTACATAAATTCACAATTCAATTCGGTTTATTTCATTTACTTTCGCGTCCTTATTGCCGTAGATTGATCAAATGAGTATATTGTTTCCCAAGGTGCCATGTGGGCCCATTGATAAGTGGTGTTTAAAAATTGAGTCTGTTAGGACTTAAGCAGCTGGCCCAGGGAGGATAAACTAATTAGAAAAATAAGTAAAAGAAAAGGAACCAATAAAGGTCAAATCAAAAAGACATTTATGGTGATTACGGCTTAATGCTAGGACACGAGGCAAAGGCGGGGGTGGCTCGAAGTTACAAGGCACATGGGGCTTGACAAGTGTAATCAGAGAATTTTAAAGGATACTACCAAAATGTCACTCTTCATCAATTTTTTTATCTAAATATCACGCGAACAATGTTATTTTTCAATCTGACACGGGAGTAAGTTCGCTACCCGGTGTAGCGAACTCGGTTTGCTGACGTGTCATATTTCTAGTGGATAACAAGTATCAAGTTAAAAAAAATAAAAAAAAGGTGTGGAGTTTGCTACTTCGTGTAGCGAACTTGGTGTTCACTAGAAACGTGACACGTCAGCAAACCGAGTTCGCTACACCGGGTAGCGAATTTGCCTCCGTGACAGATTAAGAAATAACACTGTTTACGTGACATTTAGATAAAAAAATTGATGAACAGTGACATTTTAGTTACTGTTACAAATTTTAATTGGCAGAGAATTTTCCCATTGCAGCATAGACGTAATCAGAAAAAAATTTAAATGGGCAAAAATTATAATGTAAATTGTTTTTTAAAGTTATTACTAGTTATATAATAACCCATAAAAAATATAAAAAATATTTATAATTAAAGGTTTCTATAAATTTTAAAAGAGAGTGAACACTAAATATATGATAAAAAATAAAAAATTAATATTCAGTTATAAAAATTTATATAATTTTGAAGGGTCCCTAGCTCCACCAGTGAGTACCTATGCACTGTGGTTAATAACCTTTTAGCTGGCAATAAAAAAAACGGCTCAGATTTAGTGAGTGAACCCTTAAATAAGTTTCAAAATGTTGAAGCCATAAATAAATAAACAGAAGTTGTTCATGTATCAAATTTATTAATTACCATCACCAACTGGGCATAAGGTTACTCCAACAGTTTCGAGTTTTGACCTATCATTAGGGGCAAACTTATTAAAATCGGTCTAGTCATTGATCCGATCGAGGTACTGGGTTACTGGTTCAATTGCATGACCCGATAATTATATGTAATTTTATAATTTATATTAAAAAAATTATAAACATACTCATATATCTAAAAAATGATAAAAATTTCAAATATTTTAATATAAAAAATAATAAATGACATATTATTATCCAATAAAAAATAAAACAAAAATATAATGATTGTGATATGGGACTTTAGGTTAAGAAAACGACATCTTTAACTATAAATCAAATTAAAATTTTCTGCGTAGTGCATAATTGAGATAATATTAGTGTTGTAGGTACATAACTTAGGTAAGTCAATAAGTAAAAAAATATTCAAATATGTCCATTTTGAATTTTTTTTTGAAAAAAAAATTAGATTTTTTTTTGGGTCCGGACCGGGTCACCGGTTTTCATGAAAACCGGCCGGGTCGCACCGGTTCTGATGCATAACCGGTCCGTTGCTTCAACCGGACCAGTTATATGACCGGTTTACTGGTTCTCGGGTCGACCTGACCAGGTCGGTCCGGGTTTCATAACACAAATTAGGGGTGAAAGTGGGCTAGGCTGGGCCAAGCTTTGCCTCGAAAAGCCCAAGCCTACGTCAAAAAATTTCAATTTAGCCTAGCCTAAGCCTAGTATGAGTCTAGCTGTTAGCCTAGTTTAACCCATTTATAAAAAAACAAATGGCCTGACTTGGCCCGTTAGCCTGTTAATTTTTAACTTCTAAGCATAACCATGAATCAATTTTACAAAGTATTCAAATTCTGTTGCTACACCAAAAATCATAATTTCAACGTCCAAGCAGAATCATGAATCATAACAAAACTAATACAATATGCATTTAAGTCATTTTCAAAAGCAAAATGCTCAAACTAAATAACATATATTTCATCAGATAAATAAATCCATACTATGTAAATTAAAATAACTACATGAATCCAACAAACACATCATGATGCTTGTAGTAAGTATAACCTCTCACAAAAATCTTTTAATATATTCATATACGCAATCTAACATGTTGAGATGTTGGTTCCTCCTATATAAGAAATAAAGTAAGATTTCTATTAAAATATAATCGAATATAATTAAGTTATAAATAATTGCAATTGATTAAATTTATATCTTTGTTTTTCTTCAAGACATACCTACTCTATTTATACGCAATCTAACATGTTGAGATGTTGGTTCCTCCTATATAAGAAATAAAGTAAGATTTCTATTAAAATATAATCGAATATAATTAAGTTATAAATAATTGCAATTGATTAAATTTATATCTTTGTTTTTCTTCAAGACATACCTACTCTATTTTATTTTATTTAAAATAAATAGTACAATATAGGCCGGCCTGTAGACTTATAGGTCCTACCTTTTGAAAGTGAGCCTATGGTTTTTTTATTAAACAAGCTTTTTTAAAGCCCAAGCCCGGCCTATTATACAAAATATACTAAGTTAGGTCTAGCATGATGTAGGCCGAGCCGTAGGCCCTTGTAGGCCGACCCGGCCTAGTTTCACCCCTACCTATCATATATATATATATATATATATATATATATATATATATATATATATATATATATTATAGTCAACCTTTTTAATAATATAATAACATATATGATTAAGTTATAGCATAAGAAATTCCATATTAAAAACTACTCCTCAACTTTCCCTTAAATGGGAATGAACCTCTAAGGCTCTGATAGACCTTTTTAACATAATCACATAACTATCCATAATTTTGAAATAAGACCATTCGTTCATCATTCCTCTTTCATAGTCAACACTCACTCTGAGTTTCTGACACCACTACCTCAACAACACACAAACACACACGCACAACAACGTTCCCACTTGCTTCTATCAGCTCAGAATTTCGAAAAAAACAGAATCTCTCTCTCTCCTCTGTTCATGTTCTGCTGCATCAATCAACATGGAACTCGTTCCATATTCTGACCCAAACTCTGCCACCCCAGCATGGCAGGACATGTTCCGATCCGCATCTAGCAGAAAACCCAACTCCACCCCTCATCCTCACGCGCCGCAACCTCAATCCCACGCGCCTCCGCCTCAACCCCACGAGCCGCGGCCGCCTCAGAATGACGGCGACCCAGATGGAAAAAACAAATTTTCCGGCGATCCCCAGGTAAGGCTCGCTCTCTACATAGCCATGGCACATGCGGGGCTTGCCTTCGCCATTTTCGTCCTTTACACTGTGTCAAAGCTATTGGATCAGTACATGAGACCCCTCCAATGGGCAGTGTTATGTTCAATCCCTCTCAGGGGGATTCAGCAAACCCTTGTTGCATTTTGGTCTGAATCCCTCAAGTTAGGCCTCACAGAAACTGTTCTTGCTGTTCCTGTTGCTGTGTTCAGAGTTTTTGTGGGTACCCTTGTTGAGATTCGTGAAGCTTCTTTTAGGGTGATTCTTAGGAAACCGAAGCCTGAGAACCACCCAGATAGGAAACGTAGTGGGTTTTCCAATTTGCTTCGTTTGCTTGTGTCTTTTGGGATATTCATCGTTGTTTATGAGAGGTTGGGTTGTTTTGGGGCTATGTCACTTTTGGTTTTGGGTTTTGTGTTCAGCTCAAAGAATGTGGATTCCACTATGTCCACTTTGTCTTCTTTCAGGAGCAGCAGCTTCAGGCGCAGTTCAATCAGTGCTTTTTTCACCAGAGGGATATTGAAGAGGTTGAAAACTGTTGTGGCAGTTGGGCTTATTGTTGGTATGATTGTTGGGTTTTTGACTGGGTTGATTTTCTTCTCTTATAAGATTGGAGTTGAAGGAAAAGATGCTGTGATTTCTCTTAAATTGCATGTTGAAGAGAGCAATTATGCTGAGAAAATTGGTGTTAAGAAGTGGATGGATGAGAATGATGTTACTGGGGTGGTGGATAGTTACACTACTAAGTTCTATGAGACAGTGTTTGATCAGATTGATGGGTTGGCTGTGCAGTATAATATAACTGAATTTGTGACTGGCATTAAGCATTTTGTCATTTCTACTCCTGTTAACTCATCAGCACGTTCAAGATCTTTGATGACCTCCCCACCATACACAGAAAAGCTCTTGAGTTTGAAAAGCCGAATTAGAAACAGGGAATGGAGCCAGATTTATGCAGAACTCGATTCCCTTTTCCGGGAACTTGTAATCACCCGTGAGGATTTAGTTGAGAAGGCCAAAGGATTTGCTATTAAAGGAATTGATGTATCTCAACGTGTTTTTGCTAGTAGTAGAACTGTGCTTGGAAGCAGTGCAAAATTTATGTTCTCCATTGCAAATTCCATAATCTCTGGAGCTGCAGAGGTTTTCAATTTTGTATCTCAGTCAATGGTATTTATTTGGGTTTTGTATTATCTCATTACATCAGGGTCTGGTGGAGTAACAGAACAACTGATGTGCATGCTTCCAATGTCAAACCCTACTAGAGTCAGATGTGTTGAAGTCTTGGATAAAGCTATTTCAGGATCCCTTTTGGCCACAGCTGAGATTGCATTTTTTCAAGGATGTCTTACTTGGCTTTTATTTAGGTTATACAAAATACATTTCTTGTACATGTCAACTGTTCTTGCCTTCTTCAGTGCTCTGCTACCAATATTTCCATCTTGGTTTGCAACAATCCCTGCAGCTATACAACTAGTGCTGGAAGGCAGATACATAGTGGCCATTGTCTTGTCTGTTATTCACCTTTTCCTCTTGGATTATGGAGCGTCAGAGATTCTGGAAGATGTGCCTGGAAATAGTGCATATCTTACTGGGTTGAGCATCATTGGGGGAGTGACATTGTTCCCATCTGCTCTAGAGGTAAACTTTTACCCTCTTTCTCTCACTCTTGATGATTATAGAAGCAATTTGTGCTTTAGTCTCTCACTCTTGATGCATCATGTTTTGACTAAATCTCAAGATTTTAACCCGTATTGTCTGTGATTTAGGCATTTTATGTCAACTTGCTTCTCTTGGAATATTCTTGTTTTAAAATTTAAAACTGGTTTACCTGCATAACATAATTAAATTTCTAATTCTACCAAGCTTTGAAATGTGACTACTAGGTTAGTGTGGTCTTCTCTTAACTAAACTTATATTGGCTACTCTTGTAAATGCTCAAGTAACTCTAATTGAGATAAGTAGTTCTGATTCTTTTGGGCTTTGATTTTCTATTTTTTTCAGTTTTATTTTTTTGGGATGGGGGTTTGAGGGAAAAGGATAGCATTCTACTTATTAAGATCTGGCAGAAATTTCCTTTTCATTTTTTTGATCATGTTTGGTTCAGTCTATCAGTGAGTTTGTTAAGATGCACTTCTATTATATCCCATAACATATTTAAATTGACTGAAGGAGTATGTTGTTCTGCAGGGGGCTATTATGGGCCCATTGATAACTACAGTTATGATTGCTCTGAAGGATTTGTATGCTGAATTTGTTTTGGAAGAACCTAAGGACAAGGCCAAGGAGAAAGTTAGCTAAGCTTCTTCTCGTGTCTACAAAAGTATTTTTTTGCAGTTGAAGTTTGCTACAAGTGTGCATTGCTCTATTATGCCTTTGTTAGTGGAGTTTGCCTTCAGATTTGTGATATGCTCATAATTATATGTTTTCAGAATAGGACCTTTTTTTTATCCATTTCAGGGGTCATCAAATATTTTCACTTGGTGGCAGTGTTTGATAATTGTACACTTACATCTGTAATTTATTCTTGTAACTATTTTTGTTATTCATTGTATAAAAGAAAGAAAAACTCATGTAAGCTTGTAGGAAATATAATATTACCTTCATTTTTCTTGGATTTAGCCATTAAGATGAGTTCCACTACCATTGCTATTTTTATTAATTACGTGCATTAATAAGCAACACTGCCAGTTCAGGAGATAAAAATCTTCTGAGAGAGCATGAAGTTAAACCAGAACCTCCTAACAAAAAATTGCATCGACTACACAATGTTCCTAATCTATTTTCAAATTAGTTTTATATAATCGAACCAAGGTTTAACATGCTTCACGGCCTTGTGTTGTAAAAGGATCAGTCTTTTCATGACATGAAAGAAGAAAAAAATAAGAACAGGGACTTGTAGCTAGGGAAATAAGCTGCAAACACAGATGAACACATCCTCATGATTAATCGAAACTTAGAAAAATCAAACGAATGAATGATTAACCTTGCCTAGCTTTTCCTTTGTTCTTTCCTTCTTTATTTGTTCCAGCTCAGCCAACAGAGCTTGTGTATCATCTTCATCATCATCCTCATCACTGCAGAAAATTATAATCAATTCCAAACAACCTGACTCACATGATGACCATTACATTCTAATAATAAATAAAGCATGAAATTAAAATTAGGAGACCAACCAAAGAAAGGTTAAAAGAAAAGCAACTGATAAAAAGAATTCAAGTGAAGCTGCTTTTCTGGTACCTAGAAATCAACCTTGTGATTCAATTCACCAAAGAATTAAGATAACATGAGACTGTCACACACCAATGAACTTCCCCATTTTTCAAGGTAGCAAGAAGGAGAAAAAAACCAGGTATCAACAACATAAAAAAAAGGAAGGAAAAGTTGCAAATGATCCAAATCTTATCAAGATATTAAGGTTCAATTTCGTTTAAGTTCAGTGTCAAAACTATTCTAAATCACAGACGAATTAGGTTGGTATCAGAAAATGACAGCTTAACTGTATCAAAGGGAATACATACTATTTTAAGCACAGAACAAATAGCATAACAAAGTCTCACATCTTAGCCACCAAAAGAGACAATAGAAAAAAAGGTTAAATATCTCAAACTTGAATCTATCAGTGGAAGCGAAGAAAAAGAATTTAAAAGTAGCAAATTGTGAACTATGCATATAATGCTTCTCCATGTCACTTTCCAAATGTCAGAAGAAAAAATCTGACACTTAAACTTATTATTTATGAGTTTTGCTAAAATATATATTCTGCATACCCTTTATTTGTTAACCATACACTTATACATATATACCACTACATAAATAATTAATAATTCTTTGAATAATCAATTTATATATATATATATATATATATATATATATATATTTGAATTCTATAAATATATACATATAGTATTGTCATTGTATCTAATTTGGAAAAAAATAATTACCAAATTAGATATTAGGAGGAGCACTAATAAGTATTATATATGTTAAAAACATCATATTATGTATAAAAAGATACACAACAATTAACTATTGTCAGTTATATTAAAAAAAAACAAATACCTTCTGTAATTGTACTCTATGAACTAAAATTATAATTATCATAGAACTATCTGACACAAATTAAATTTCTAAAATATTATTTCAATTCAAACCATGAAAGTAAGAACTAGAAGTTCTAAAAAAAATATAAAGATAGCAACTAGATACTTCTAAATATGAATCTCACAAAGGAGATCATGCAAGGAAAAGCATATAATAAAAAAAGTGTTAGTTACAGTGGAGAAAAAAAAAAGTAATAGGAAAAAAAGAAGAATAACTTTATAATAATAAAAAAGCTCCACAACTTTCTTAAAGCAAAAATGAAGCTTTGGTCTTATCTCTTGATGAGTAGCTATCTTGCCGACCTGCATAAGAGAATTTGAAAACGTTATTCAATCTATTAAGCTTAAACAGTATGCGTACAAGGGGGCATAACATAGTCTCTTTATGGGACAACAAATTATTTTATATATATATATATATATTTTATTTAGATTTCAGGTTCCCCCTCACATGAGTGTGGCTTGGCCACGGATAACCACTTATATGTCATCTTTCTATAAATCAAAAAATAAATTTGGAGTTATAAGGTAACAAAATTGTCCAACCCAATAGAATATTACACATATTACAAACTCATGTATCATGCATACTGGAAAGAAAAGTAGTCTTGTTAAAATTTAAATTTGTTGTAAATTGATTTATATTATTTAGATAGTATTAATAAAAATTAATTTTAAATATGCAATTATATAAACATAATGTTTAATTAATTGTGTTGAGCTTAGTTATACAATTGTTTTTATATATAAAATATACAGCTAAATATAATTTTCTATCATAGATGTTCTATACAAACAATTACATATCTGTTTGGTTTATATGGCAACTAATACGACACGATATATGATCTATGCAATATGGATTGCTGTAATTCATTTTTCCCATATTCTAAAATGCGTTTGTAGAAAGTAAATATACTTCTTCATTTAAAAGTATTCTCTCTTGCTACTTTAAGAGTGTCATTATATATAGGAAAAACTAATAGATAGTAAATAAATAATAATAAATTCTATTATTTTTACCTTTAATTTTATTTTTTTATAACATGATCTTCTCATATTATTACATAAGGATAGGTTATTCTACCTATCTTGTCTACCACTCTCTAATATCGTTAGATCATAATCTTAATGTAACATCCCCGTCTTGAGCTGGTTCAATTAACATACATATGATACTAAACAGAAATAACGGAAGACTTAACTTACGAAAATACGAGCTAACCTTTTCTTTTTTCTTTTATCCTTTTCACATGATATTTAATATTGCATATATCTTCTAGTTTACTTTTCATTTGACGGAGACGAAAATCGGACAGAGTAACGTCTGTAAATCGAATAAATGGAAAATTAAGAATCTCACTCTCAAGGTATACTGATAAGCAATTTATACAGTGCATGATTTCAGAAATACGAAGTATCCATAAAGGACCATATGGGCACATGCACAACTTGGCTCCGTGCCACTATGTCTAACAACATGCATATCCAACATGTAAACATATAACTGAATACTACATAATACAAAAAGGCCTGAATACACAATTGTACATGTATCAAACTGAAAGACATGTACAAAACATATACAGGCCATATACAAGGAATGGATCAGACATCATGATCCCAAAATAACAAAATACTATGCAACATAAACATCCACCAAATATTAGTAGCCTACAGCTACTCCAAATCCGGTCCGTCGCAACCCCTCTAGCCATGAGTCGTGTCCCTGCCTCGTGAGGGCTCACCGGAAATCTGAACACCTGAAATGATGTCCCCAAAAGGGGTGAGATAACAAAATTCAATAAGCTTCAGGTTTATAGAGAATTCTCCATACCCCTGGGCCCACTCCTGCATGAAAGTCAGATACAGAGTATATAAAGCATCATATAACAGATATCATACCTGAACAAAGCATATATACATATCTTATCAGAGGCGCACACCGTCATTCTCAAGGGAGGACCCCAAGCGGAAATCAACGCACGTGTTCCCAAGGGAGGACCCCAAGCAGACATCAAGCACATACAATCAATAGCCAAAGATCATTACAAAAATCACACCAGAACAAAACATATCATATCATCATATAGCTTTATATGAATGCATCTATACAAAGCATCAAATACAATTATACAATCCAACCATAGTCCACTAACCATGGTGGAACACTCATGTAGGAATAGACTCCTTAAACATAGAGCTTATCTCTTGGAGCTTTACAATTTGCTTACTTGAAGAACAAGCTACTTATCTTGCTCCACGAGAATCCAAACGCTCACAATCCCTAGGCACACCTAGAGAAAGAATTCAAAGCAAAAATCAATAGAATGCTACAATGCCATGTAATTTACACAAGGCATACATTTTATTGCTTTCTTTTTTTTCTTCACACTTATGCCAAACATATATGCCAATTAACAAGTCAAGACCTTAATTTCTTAAACTCCTTTGTTTAGACCATTTTAACGGTGAATATTTGAACCACAAGTAACCACATGGTTTCATACCCACATAGGATCTTAAAATGACCCTACCAAGCTTCTAAAATACCATTTTATAATTTTAACATATCCAAGCCCTAAAGACCCTAAATGGCCGAAACCAAGAGGGTAGGGTTAGTGTGGTTCTTTTCTTGTACAATCCATTTTTTCCACTTAATTCATAACTTACACATGTATATATACCTTCACACTATGAAGCACCGATACTTTAAAAATCCTGACGTGTCGTGTCCGACACTTCTCGACACTCTCGGACACTCTGACACTCCCTGACACTCCAACACGCATTATAGAAATTCAAAAAAAGTTTAAAGATTGCGTTACGTTGAATTTTTAGTTCCAACTATTAGATTCGTTGAATTACGGTTACTATATTATTGAGTTTAAATAAATATTTGAGATAGCTTATGTTTTTTTACAAAATTTATGAATATTATAAGTTTAGATTTATTTTTTGTTAAATTATTGAATATTAAATATAATATACACTATATAAATTAAAAATAATATTTAATATCAAAACGTGTCCTAACGTGTCGAAATTTAACGTTTTTTAGAATTAACGTGTCGGAGTGTCGTGTCGTATTGTGTCACGTGTCCCGTGTCGGTATCGGTGCTACATAGCCTTCATAAAGTGTCCAATTAAATTTGAACATCAAACCCCTCTATGATACATCATGGCTGAAACATAGGGAGGCAACACCATGGAATTTTTCCAACTTTACACTTATTCAAATGCTTATCTCACATTCCTATATCTAAAACATCAATAATCCATCATCAATTCAAATTTTAAACTCAGTTTTCCCACTAAAACATGCTCTAAATTTTCAAAACTTAAATCATGAAAATCAAACCATGAAAATAGAGATTTCATATCTCTAATCCTTTATACAAAGCCTAGAGGACAACCTCTAAGTAAAGCTCCATCAAAAACAAATTTTCACACTTGATGAATAGTAACTAAAAAAAGGGGA